AGGCGAAGGAAGGCGGGATGGCCGTCAGCACCTCCGTCCTCACCCAGGTTAGAGGCAGCGTGCCCGCATGCCTTCTTGGGCCACGGGGTCCTCCCGTGCTGGGTTGTACAGCTCAGGCCCTGCCTGGCAGAGCCTCCCCATGCAGAGAGCGAACTGTCAGGCTCATTGGTTGCTGCCTTCTTGCTGCCAGCCTTCCAGCGGACCCATCGCCGGGAGGGCTGTGACACACAGCAGTGGTTCAGACAGCTCTACTCCCCGGACAGCCGAACTGGAAGCAGGCTCCATAGCCTGGGCCATAGGCAGTGCCCCGCTGCCTCTAAAGTGGAGCCAGAGCAACCCCATAAACAGATAAATGGCTCCCAGCGTCATTGTGGAGGAGATGACAGGGAGGGATGGCTGCATGGAGCGCAGGTGCTAGGTGGAGGGAGCACGGTGCTGCTGGTGGGTTCACCGGGGTCAGTGGGAGCAGGACGGGGGTAGTGCAGTGTGACAAGGGACACCTGGGGTTTGCTGTGACAAAGCTCTCAGTCTTTGCTTTTGCTTTCTGTGCCCCGATGAGGACAATGCTCACCTCGACAGGGTGTGTTGGCCTAAGCGGAGGTCTGCTCTTTGATGCCAGCCTGCTCTAACCTCGGCAGATGAGACCCATTGACTACAAGGCCCAAAAGGGCCAACTGCCAACCACAGGGAGGAGGCAATGGAGCTACAGAGAGGGGAGGAAGGGCCTTCCCAGCTGAGTGTGCATGGCTGTAGAGCTGCTGGGACAGAAGCAGGATCTTGCAGTGTCCTAATTACAGGGAGAGGGAGAGGGAAGGAGCCTCCTGAAAAGGTTTGTGAGACCTTGGAGTGGTCCCTGAAGATGATGAGGACCCACCTCCTTTAACCCATGGTGCGAGCTGGAAACACACACACCTCTGTGGGTGACTGCAGACTGTCCCTCCCCTGGAAGGTGGGGAGAACTTTTGCCCTGTCTTTCTCCTCCCTGGACTCCTACTGAGCTGCTTTTCCTTCCAGGCTGCTTGGTGCGTCCTGCCATCACGGGTCCTGCTGGTGCTGACCTCTCAGAAAGGGATCCAGGTGAGGTGGTTTTCTGCTGAGGGTGAAAAGCAAAGTCACAGTGCTGGGAGGATGAGCTTGCTGTGAGGACAGCTGGGCTGCTAGGGACGTGGGGGCAACCTTCTGGAGGTCCTGCTGCACATCCAGAGAGCTGTCACTCTCTTGGAGACCTCTTGGGGCAGCAGTTGAGCCTGAAGCCATAAGGGAAACTTCTCCACTCTCTTGGGCCTCACCCTTTCACTTTCTCTCTTCAGATGTACGAGTCTGATGGCTCCATCATGGTTTATTGGCACGCACTGGATGTCACAGAGCATCCTCCAGGTAAATTGCATGGTGGGAGCACAGCAAGGAACGCCACAGCCCCTCTGCCTGCTCTTCTTCCTTGGGTGTGTGTGATTCCTGTAGTGCAGCCTGGTTCTTCCTGGCCTAGAGAGACCCCCAGCAGCCTTGCTCCCAGGCCCAGTTAGGATTGAGCCAGGACAGTCCTTTACAGCAGCTCAGTGGAATGGTCTGGAAGAGATCATAGCATCACTCTGGCTCGACAGGGGCCTGGGAGAGCTGCAGAGGGGCTTGGAAAGGACCCAGCGCGGCAGCTACAGGACTAGCCCTAAACTTGAAACTCGAACAGGCACCGTTGCACTTCACACCACTGCGCCGGTCACCTGGTTCCTGGGAGCTGCCGCAGGTCATGACCAGCTCTTGGTTTCCTTTCAGCACAAGCAGTGTTTGCTCGAGGGATAGCTGCAGCTGGCGGACGCTTCATCTGCGTGGGTGAGCCAAACCCAGGAGTTTGGGGAAGGACGAGAAGAGAGGGTGGTTCTGGGGGGGACGTCACTGGGACCTGGGGACGGTGTGACAACGTGGGGTCAGCTGAAGGGGCTGCGTTGGCCTTGGAGCTGTTCTGCGGGAGCGTCTGTGCTGAACAGAGGGGCAGATGTGCAAGCAGCATCTGTCAGGAGCAGCCCCACATAGGCAGCGGGTCTCGGGGGGAGCGAGGAGCCCGGCTGCAGGCATGGCAAGAGCTGGAGGCTCGCTCCCAGGATGGAGTGAGATGAGCCCCCTCTGATGCCTCCTCTGGTCCGTCCACAGGGACGTCCTCTGGGCTGGTGCTGGTGTTTGACATCCCCCCAAAAGGGACGAACATCACAGTGAGCGAGGTCCTGGAGCAGCACCATGACGCCATCACTGACATCGCAGCGGAGCTGGGCCAGGCTCCGGTATGTATGGGGTCAGCGTTGTCAGCAACTACTTGGGCCAGAGGAGCTGGAGGGGTGGGCAGTGGGGAATCCAGCTGTCCCCTCAGCTGTCTCGGGAACACCTCACGAGTGTCGGTTCTGGGAAGCTGAGGTTTACCCAGGCCCTGGCTGAGCTGATCTCCCAGGCTAGAGCCCCCCACCCTGGGAGCTGGTCCTCTCTGTGGCCAGCCCAATCCCCACTGCAGGTGAGCTCTGGGCAGGCTGCGGCGCATAAGAGCGGGTCACTGTCTCTGCCCGAGGGGGATCTTCCCTGTCAGGTTGGGGTACATCTTGGGGAGGAGGTAGCTTGGGATCGCCACTTCCTCAGCCCACACTTCAAAGAGCCTGTGAGCTGTCCGACTGTGGCTTAGTGTGGCATCTCGAGGCAAGGCAAACTGGAGTCAAATGTAGTTTAAAACACTGCACCCATACGCTGTGGTACTTCAGGGCTGTTCCAGTTGATTCCCTGGCAGCTGGGAACATCCATCCCATCCGTTATCCCACTGTCCCATTTTCCATGGGTGTTCAGCTGATCTCTGCCTTCTTAGCACTTTCTCCATGTATCTCAGCTGACTGAATCTCAGTCCTGGTCATCCAGGCTCTGGGAGCACAAATGCTGAAGCAGAGAGGGGCAACAAAAGTGGTGAAGGAGCTGATTCCTTCCCCCCACCCATGCACAGCGTGGCTGTGGGAGCACGGCTTGTTGCCAACCCACAGTATCCCATGATCTGTCGGGGTGCATGCTGGAGTACAGAAGAGCTATTGATGCTAAAATCCAGTTGTGGTACAAGAGCAAATGAGCAAAACTGGCCCACGCTAAAATTAAAGCTCCCACCATTAGAGCGGCGAGTTACCGCAGCAGAACCTCCCTGCAGGATTGCAGTGAGAGGACATGTCCTGCCCATGTCTCTGGAGCCATCCCGGGGTTCTGGCTGCCGGTACAGGATCCTGCTTCTCCTCCCCAGGCCAGGCCCAGAGCGCTGGCACCTGGGGAGACAAAGAAGTCAAGGGCAGAGCTGTGCCGGCACTCTAGCTGAAGGGACGAACCTTTCCTCCTCAGCAGTGGAGGGGGGGGATAACTGACCCAAGCCATCAGTGGTAGCGGTGACCTTTCTCGTGGCAGATGAGATAACTTCACCTGATTACAGAGCAGAGTCTGGGACCAGGATGAGTCTTCCTTCAATTCAGCTCTCTCTGGTTGACATCTCTGCAGACGCACTAATTGGCTTCTTCATTATTGGCTGCCTCTTTCCCAACGAGGACACTTTCTTTAATTAGTCACATTTAACTTTCTCTGCGTTTGGGACTCCCCTGAACAATTAATTGCTTAGAACTGGTTCCCAATTAGCCTGGTTACGGAGCTTGTTTACGTGAAAGCTGTTCTGTTGTCTACCTCTGTCTGCAGTGACTGTCTTCTAATGTGCCTCTCTTGGACTTTGCACCATGGTTTGTTAAAGGCTTTTTAGCAAGCAAGAGACAGGGCCTGGCATGTGAAATCCCAGGTGCCTGTAAGGCGAAGAGCGACCAGACTCATCTGCAGAGGGAGGGGATGCAGTCATTCTTCCTAGAAATTTTTTTTATCCTATGTGTAATTAGCATTGCTAAACACAAACATGTTTAAACTGAAATGCCCGTGTGTGATCCCAGCCAAGCCTTGCTTGTTCACAAAATGTGTCAGCAGTTTCTGTGAGCTGTTAAACTTTAAGCTTGTTCTGCTGCAGGCTCTGGCTTTGCTTTGCAGCAACTTTAGTGGCGCAGGCAACTGGGGCAGCAAGAACCTTCTGCCTGCTGTGAGTCAGCTGCTCACTGCGCGTGGCAGAGCTGGCTGCCCCACAAGCAGTGCCAGGGTGGAAGCTGACCCACCTCTGCTTCACAGGACGGGGCTGGTGACCTGGTGACTGCCGATGACGCTGGGACCCTCTGTGTCTGGAGTGCAGGAGAGGAGTTCACCCTGCTCAGCAAAATCCCGGCCTTTGGGTAAGCCCGAGAGGCGAATGGAGCGATACAGCAGGGACCCATCAGTGGGTGGTGTTGGATATCCCTGGCCAGACCGTGTCGGTGTCTCGCAAGGGATGGGGGGGTGGCAGGAGGGGGACACCCAGCACCAGCCCCCGGCGTGCGGGTCTGGAGCCGAGAGGGGAGGAGGTCAAACGTGCCCCTGTGTCCAGCTGCACCTGCTCCTCCGTGAAACTGTGGAACGGGGTCGTGGCTGCTGGCTACGGAAACGGGCAGATTCGGCTGTATGAGGCGGCAACAGGCCTCCTGCACGCAGAGGTCAATGCTCACGCTCGATGGATCTACGCGCTGGACCTGGCGCCGCAGACAGGAA